ACACACACACACACACACACTTTTGTCATAGTACCCCCAAGAATTTAAAACTACTTTCACCCCTGTGAACACTAGATGGGATCCAGAAGAAATGACCAAATCAGCCTGAAATCCACTGCAGTAACACCATAATCTTCCAGAGATATGAATATTTTTGAGCCTACTTGTATGTATGCTTATGTGGGTAGATATATTCCCATAAAAACATGTAACTGGAAATGTAAAGATACATTTCCAAAATTCTCTCACCAGTTAACACTGCAGTTAGCATTTCAAGGTCTGTGTGCAAGTTGCTTTCCATTCCAATATCTGCTCTTCTATCATTTAAATTATCTCTGTTTACTATGTAGTCAACAGTTGTAGCTTCTGGCTCACCTGTGAGCCTTCAATCTTAAACTTGTGGCCGATTTAATGGCCACAAGTTTAGAACACAAGTTCTAGAAATTCAAAATTACGTGGTGGGATTTTGTGTTTTTGCAGTGCATCCTAACGCTTAAAGGGAACTTCTGAGACAGAAACGAAATCACAGAGAGCAGTGTGTTGCTGCTGGGGCTGGTTGCAGGAAACATTCAGACGGTTCAGAAAATGTTTGGAAAAATATAAAAGTCACCTCCTGGTCACCTCCTCCAGGTCTTATTCGATGTCTTTAGCAGCACAGCAACGTTCTCTTCCATCTATGTCATTAACGGTCATCGCTAGGGGCACCATTTTTAGGTGGAACAGTAAGCAGGCTAGGTAGAGGCAGTATATCTTTTATTTTGAAATGCCATTTTTGCACTGAAAATGTGAATTTTAGACTGATTACGATATAAAGGCTTCAACATGTGTTTCAAGTGAAAGATGCATTTTAGATGCAAGGTTTAAGTATCCACCATTTTCTACATGCATCATTTTTTCATGATATAATACACTGGAGGACATCCATCTTGCTACTACTGTATCAGGTCAGAAAATCTAAGTACCTATTTACCAAAAATACACTGAAATGGTAACATTTAGTTCATATGGCTTTTCTACCATTACTAAATTTAGTCTTAATAGGGATATTTCATACTATTTAAAAGAAGAATAATTCAATTCAATTGAAATTGACTGAAAAGATAGATAGAGATATATAATTTGTGGATTATGTGTGTGTTTTCACTGATTTGACTTGGATGACTGCAAAAAATATCTTATTCAGGTCAACTTACCAGCAGGTCTGGTGTGTTGATGTCCAGAGGTTCCTCCACCTCAAAGCATTTCTTGCACTCCAGAGTAGGTTGCTGTGGCCTCTCCATCAAGGCCTTTACATAATAGTGGACATAACCAAACTTCCCCTTGTATGAAGACACCAGCTGCCTGTGAGTAGAGAAATGAGCAATTCAAAAGGCAGGCTCTGTGCAAGAATTCAGTGGAGAAAGATGTATTCCATGTAAAAAAAAAAAGTGAATTCTGAGACTCTTACCCTTGCTGAGGAAGGTCAAATCCAAACTTGTACTCATATTTATTACCAGGCCTTAAGACAACTGAGCCATCGGAATCTGCAGAGAAGTTTTAAAGAGATTTTAATAACTCTTTACTGAGAAAATATTTGTTTCAATACAAGGTGGTGTTAAATTGTGCCCCACTCTGCCACTTCTTTGGCAGAGTTAACTCATGCTTTTCTTCATTAGTTAAAAACCGAAGAAAAAACAGCTACATTTAAAGTTCAATGTTTTACTGTTCCCCTGGAATATGGAAAATAATAAGTTAACATACAAAAGAGAGAAAGTCCGAACCTGTGGGCTGCTCGCTCAAATGCACGACTTCTTCATAGCGTAAGTACTCGGCCTCCTGGCGGCACCGTTGCTTGCCTTTAGCGTATTCCACTTTGGCGCAGCCCAGAGCCAGTATCTTCATTGCAGACACCCGAGTCACCTCGCTCACCTCTACTTCAATTCGGCCACACACCTTGTCCCCGCCGCAGTAGAAGGACTTGTTTGAATCCGATAAGGTGATTTGGAAGGTTTTCACCTTCTTCGTCATTGCCACCATAACTGCAATGTGATCCTAGTAATAGTCGATGCTATTAACGTGTACTTTTTTGAATAATAGCGCTTGAACGTAATAGAACCCTGTGTTACGCCGTTCACTTCCCTTTACTGTAAACAAAGACAGCGCAGAGGTTTTATATGACGCACCCCAGCTGAGCATGTGCCGCCAGGATGGAAGAAATGGCTCAGCGCGTGCACACTGTTCCTATTGGTTGAAAATCTTTGTTTGTCTCGGGTGTAGCCAATCAACACATGGAACCGACGCGTGGACAGTGCATGTTTCTGAGAACAGAGAGCGTGCTCAGCAGATGTCAGGAGAACAGGGATGTTGAAGGCAGACTGAAAGTACATTTGTAGTAAACACCCTGGAAGCTGAAAACTTTGAGACAAATGAGTCATTGTAGTTTCATGTGTTTTACACGTACACGTATGTAGGTGGTATCACCTGGTTGTGCTGGAAATATCCTCATTAGACAGTGATTATTAAAGCTTTTGGTTAGGAAGTACACCATACTTGTACAATTTTAAAATTAATTGGACAGGTCAGAAAATACACTGAAAGGTTTTATTTACACAAATATATTATTAAAATCCCTGTTATCACTGTTTGTCTATGGGCATGTGGTTGGAGTACGACAACCTATTTGGGAATGTCAAATAGGAATTGAGCTCATTGAACTTGTTTCTTTTTGAGTTTGTCCTTTAGGACTGGAGTTTTCCTTGTTTAACAAAAGTGGAAGTTAATACTTTAACTTAATTTCAGGAGCAGGGCCACGCCCAAACCACACCTCTAACTTTCCAAGCAGCCTATTTATACTCTGCCCATCCACTCTACTCAGTCTGTCGTGTTTCGTCAAACCCACCCTCCCTTACCCTTTACCTCTTTCATTTAACACTTCTTTATGCATAACCATGCATTGTTTTTTCCTTTCGCCGTAGGTTTCGTCTGGGGGCTCCTATATTTGCTCGGGAATAAATAAGAGGAACCGCCTCCCGGAGACATACCCCCACTCAGAGTGTCCACATCCCAAGCCTTCCGTCATTCTCCCAGACGACCGAATCAAGATCGTCCATCCCTCCATCCCTTCATCCCTCCATACTTTCATCCCTCCATCCTCTCATTCCCTCATCCCTCTCCCCTTCCTCCCTCTCCCCTTCATCCCTAATGCATTCATAAATAAGTCTTTAAACGCACAGGTTTGTGGCGTGGTCCTTCCTAGTGAAGCAATCTTTAGTTATAATATCATTGCAATAACATACAACACAGCTGTATTGTGATTGGTCCAGACAACTGTTGGCTGGTTGTATCATTAATATAATACATACATACATAATACAATACAGCATCACTTCAAATAAACAAAATAAAATCGTTTCTATTATCAGTTGTCTTTATTACCTTGGAATGAACAATTTCTGTTCTGGTGTAGAGCTGTATTAGCTTTTAAATACTGGAACAGACTGAGGCATACTGTTCCAGAGCTGATGACTTTAGAAAAGTAATGGCTGTAGAACTACAGCCATTTAAAACTACTGTATACTTTTTACAAAAATATGTGTTATGCATGTTAAAACTGTCGCCATGTCGTAACATCAGCAAATTATATGATGGTGATGATGGTGTCTGTAGGATGAGTAGAATGCCAGGGTGTGGAGGGGGGGGACTAAGCACACATCCCTGTGGTGAAACTGTGCTGAGCTTGAGAGAGGAGAACCAGTGGGGCCCCAAGTCTGTTGGTTTGAGGACAAGCAGTGAGGAAGTTTCTGATCATTCACAGGTGGATAAAAGCAGAGGAATAGTCCACAAAAAGTGTCTGCACATAATTCCCCCAATGTTCTAGGTGGGACATGCAATGTTTATGGCATCATTGGTTGACATATTTGCCCTGTGCAAACTGGTGGGGATCCAAAACAGGGCAGAGCAGGCGTTTGAGCAGCTCAGCAGCTTTATCTGCTGAGCTGAGCTGTGCCAGAGAAACATTGATAGCACAAGATTTCCTCCATCCGATACAGGTGATTTTTTTGGGTGTGCTTTCTCAAGTACCCAATATACTTGGTGTTCCTGTAGGATAAGGGCTGGAGAATCGTGAGACTGGCAGTGTTGTGCGGGAGTGGGACCATCCCATCTCAAATTTTTCAAAAACACAACATGTCAAACCTTGAGGCAGGTGGAGCAGAAGACCACCCCGGGTGCCACTCCTGTCAGCTAAGAACAATTTACACAGGCTCACTAGAATTGGACAACAGAAGATTGAAAAAATGTTGCCTGGTCTGATGAGTCCTGATTTCTGCTGTGACATTTGGATAGTAGGGTCAGAATTTGGCGTCAACAACATGAAAGCATGGATCCATCCTACCTTGGTTCAGACTGGTGGTGGTGCAACAATTGTGTGGGGGATATTTTCCTGGCACAGTTTTGGCCCATTAAGCATCATGTAAACACTGGCTATTTCCAGGAGGATAATCTGCCATGTCATACACTGTGAATCATCTCAGACTGGTTTCTTGAGCATGACAAGCTTATGGCATCTTAAGCTTGCATGGCTTATGATGCCATAAGCTTGATAGAGCACCTTTGGGATGTAAGTGGAACGGGAAATTTGCATCATGAATGTGCAGCCGATAAATCTGCAGCAACTGTGTGATGCTATCACCAGTTGCAGACCAGACCAGACTCTCTGAGGAATGTTTCCAGTACCTTGTTGAATCTATGCCACGAAGGATTAAGGCAGTTCTGAAGGCAAAAGAGGGCCCATCCCGGTATTGCAAGGTGTATCTAATAAAGTGGCTGGTGAATATAGTTTGGTAGATATTGTATGCCCTGCCAGATCTGCTGTAAATCTTTTGAGCCAATTGGACCTTCATTTTCAATATAATTTCTACTTTTGCAGTCTTGATGCTGCCTTAGTTGTAGCAGGCTCTGTCTCTAGATTTGAAATCTGCATTTCTGGCTTTCAACAGATGCTGGACTTCATTGCTTATCCATGGTTTTCAGTTGGATAAATTTTGATGTTTTTGCATGCTGTCATATTTTCAGTATAATTTTTGATATAACACAGTACAATATCTTCCAGGGACTGATGTGCATTTATGTTCCATTTGATGTGTGCAAAACAGTCTTGCAGCTCAGCCAGAACCCCATCTGGCCAAGTTTGAATAGTGTTGGTAGTGGGCCTGATTTTTTGCTTGACAGGGTTGCATGCAAGGAAGAGAAACAGTGACATGAGTAGAATATGAGCTGATTGATCCAGATGTGGGACAGGAACTTCTCTTTATGCTTGCTTAATATTGCAGTAGACTTGGTCTAATGTGTTGCTCCCTCTGGTGGCACACTGAAAATTCTGCACAAATTTTGACAACAATTTTTTTTTCTTTTTTAAAAGGTTTTATTGGCTCTAGTGGCCTTTATTTGATAGGAAAGTTGGTAATGAGAGATGGGGAAAGACATGCAGCAAAGGTCACCAGGCTGGGAATCAAACCTGCAATGATGACTAAGGCCTCCATACATGGGTTATGCTTAAACCCCTGTGCCACCACAGCACACCCTTGACAACAGTTTTTAAGCAAGCCTAATTAATTACGCACATGTTTGTTTTGTTTGGATTTTGTTAACTCCATTTACATACAGATGATTTTCACATACTTCGCAGAAGAGGTCTAAAATTTTCCCTCTGCCCCAACCTATGGAAAATATTCTAGATCCATCACTGTGTTCAACAAAATTGATGTGGGGGCAAGTTGTGGACAAATAACACCTTTCAAATTTCCACAGCAGTGGAAATTTGTCACAACTTCACAGGAATCTTGTTCACCTCTAAGTTGATTTTAACAGAAACTCAAAGCCTTCTACTTTTTTAAGAGGGATCTTGATACCATATAGATTCTGACTGACAAGTGGCATTTATGTTCCATTTGATGTGTGCAAAACAGAATACAACTGCATCAAAATGTAAGATTTTAGCACCTGCTCTAGCTTAATATTAACTCATTTTGATCATTTTGCACAGTGGCACTGTTGCCTTGCAGCAAGAAGGTCCCGGGTTCGATTCCCGGCCTGGGGTCTTTCTGCATGGAGTTTGCATGGTGGATTCTCTCCCACAGTCCAAAAACATGACTGTCAGGTTAATTGATTTCTCTAAATTCTCCCTAGGTGTGTGTGTGTGTGCATGGTTGTTTGTCCTGTCTGTCTCTGTGTTGCCCTGCGACAGACTGGCGACCTGTCCAGGGTGTACTTCGCCTCTCACCCGAAATGTTTGGCACCAGCAACCCTCCCGACTCCACTAGGGACAAGGGTGTAAAGAAAATGGATGGAAGTTTTACTTTTTCCACAGAAATTGAAAACATTCTATGTTGTGTTTTTTTGAGACACTGAGGAAATTAAAAATGGAACACTATAGTGACATTTTCTCTTAAGAATAGCGTACTCGGTTAGAGTATGTTTTATCAGACTTAAGCTCAAAGAGGCAGCTTAGGGAAAATCAGACATGGTGTTGTATTCTGCCCTACAGGACAGCACAACACCAGTGCTTTTGTAAGGGAATTATCTACAATTGGGCCATGATTTCCTCATGCCTTCTGTTGTTCTGACTTTGGCTGTAGTTTGTAATAAAATCCTCAACTGAAGTCCGGCCTGCAGAGCTTTTGTCCCTGAAGCAGCACATCAGCACTTTGAAGACTTCCACTGACACCACAGAAGTTTTTTTTTTTTAGATACAAATATTGTGTATAGATAATGTCGACCTGGCCATTGATTTGATAGTATCATTGAGCCTTCTGCTTCTGTTAGACTTACACTTATTTTTATTGTCATTGCACAAAGAAACATAAGTAAAATTGGCATGAAATGTCATCACTTGGCCACCGGAGCACACACAAAAACACAAGTGTGCCTATAATTAAATAATATGCAAATAATAATTACTATTTTCAAACAGTCTCAGAGAGTCTTCATGACGGGATTGTTGAGCAATCTGATGGCCAGTGGGAGACAACTATTTCTGAATCTGGCTGTTCTGCAGCGGATGCTACGGACTCTCCTCCCAGACAGCAAGCGGATGAACAGACCATGGAGAGGATGGGTGGAATCAGAGAGGATCTGGTTTGCTCTGGCTAAGCAGCGTCTGTGTGCAATGCTCTGGATAGGGGGGAGTGGAGCCCCAATGATCCTCTTGCTTGTCTTCTCCACTCTTTGCAGAGACTTCCAGTCTGAGGCCTTACAGCTCCCAGACCAGTTGGACATACTGCTGGTCAGCAGGCTCTCAATGGTTCCTCTGTAGAAGGTGGAGAGGATGGGAGGGCGGAGCGAAGCCCTTCTCATTCGTCTCAGATGTTATCGCTTTGTGATAGCTTTTAGCTGCCTCATTGAGGATATAACCAGGGGTGAAGGGGGTAGGGGGTACGGTAGGGTACTGCGTACCCCTAAAAGATTTAGTGGGGGTACGCAGTACCTGCAAGAGAGGGGAGCGGCTGTCAGCTGTAAAAAATCAACAGGTTCACTGTGCTAATTAGTGAGTGCACCCACTAATTAGCCGAGACTGATTAGTTTTTCAAGAACAATCTAAAACACGATTTAATCAGTTAATAAATAACTTTTTTCCCATTTCATATTGTTTCTGAACTGTCCGTGCTTTGCTAGAGCAGGGCTGCAACACGTCGATCGGGGAAGATTTTGAGTCGATCTCGGCATTAGGTGACAAACTGAACGCCGCCAGGACGCTGAGACCAGCACGTCTTCTGACTGGCTTAAAACGTTCATAACTTTATTAAACAACAACAACAAAAAATCAACAAAACGTTTTAAACTGAATGACCCAACAACAATAATAGGGTGCGTTCACACTGCAGCCTGAAGTGACTCAATTCTGATTTTTTTGCCGGGCCGTTCACACTGCCAGTA